TCCTGCCTGCCAAGCTGTCTCCAACTAGCTCCTGAGCAAGCCAGAGCTCTTCTTTGTTTGTATGTAGTTATGAGCCTGGCTTTAAAAGAACCAAGTGATTTATGGGGACTGGGGATTTAGCTCAGTGGCATAATCGCCTGTCTTGCAAGTGTGCAGTCATGAGTTCGATTCCTGGTACCAATAAAAACGAAAAAGACAAAAAAAAAACCAAAACACCAAGTGATTTTAAACACAGCAGCTTTATTTTAATTGGGCGTGGTGGTGCACACCTGTGATCCCAGCACTCAGGAGGCTGAGGCAGGAGGATCACCAGGAGTTTGAGGCCAATCTGTGCTCTGTAGAGTGAGACCCTGTCTCAAAATCCCAGAAATAAATAAATGAAACTCACTACGCTTAGACACGGGCCACCACTCACCCTCCCTCTCCAGATCGGGGAGCCTCCCTGTTGCCGTGACACCCCTGAGCCGAGCTGTCGCCCCGCAGTGCTGAGGGGAGAGGAGGGCGCCCAAGGGCAGCAGGAACACCCACTCTGCTGTGGGGTGATGACCCAGCTTGCCTCGGAGGAATCGGTCACCCAGGACGGGCACTGTGCTACCAGGCAGGGGCCTCTGAGGTCTCGTCTCTACCTCAGTTTCCCCACTCGGTCTCGCCAGGTGTCCCCTGCCTGGCTGCCGAGGCTGTATGATTTTCTTCTCCTTTGTTAGTTATGTTTTTATTCCTGTGTGTGCTGAAGGGTGGGTTCAAGACACGCTCTCATTTTATAATCCAGGCTGCCCTTGGGCTCACCACGTAGCCAAGCTGGCCTCAAATACGAAGTGACCCTCCTGCCTCAGCCTTCTAAGTGCTGGGGTTACGGGTGTGCACCACCAGGCCTGGGTTTCTGTGTCATTTTCTGAATTAAACACTCCGCCGTTTTTGGAGGAAATCGCACCCCCCTACAAAGCCAATGGTAAACAAACACTAGCATGTCTTTCCATCCAGCCACACTCATCGCTGGCCACCCTGAGCTGTAACAGACCCTCTGTTCCAGGGCCAGGAACCGGCTCGCCACACTGAGGCCCAGCACCGGGCATTGCCACCTGTGACTCAGCCTTTGATCCATGGTGCATGCTCGCTGTGGACACAGGGATGTGGCCCTGTGTTTCTGCAGGCTCATCTGCTGTCCAAATATCACGCTTTTTATTTACTTTTTAAAGGTCGGAAAGTTCTGCCCCACTTTCATAAACCCGCCTGACCTCGTGACTTTGTGCAATAAACACGCCCTTGGGCAGCGGGGGCAGTGGGCAGGCGGCCCTCTCTGAGCCCCTCTGAGTCTCTAGAGCTCTTTCTCCCCGGAAATTCTGCCTACCTTTAAAAACAAAAATATTCAACAGCAAACACTGAGAAGCCAGAGCAAGCACGAGTCTGAGTCCGGAAGTCTGGTCCTTGGGGATGAGCACCCAACATCTCCAAGGCCAAGGAAGAGGAGGCAGAGCTGGCGAGCTCGAGGACAGGACAGGCTCCGCCCCTTGTGGGGTCTCTGCGTCCAGCTCCGTCTCCGGATCCCCAGGGCTGAAGGTGACTCGGGGTGGCAGGAAGGGACGGACTTCTGCGTGGAGCTCACGATGAAAAGCAAAGAAGCCCCGCACTGCGCGTGCCCCCTGGCCGCTGGGCACGTGAGACCCTGCTGCGCATCTGCTGGAGTCTTCTCGGCCCACACAGAAAACTATTTCTGCAAACACTTTGGTGGAACAGACTGAAGTTGCTGATCGCAGCCAGCAAACCCACCGAGAGCCCGGTTGTGAGATCTCCAAGCTGGCGGAGGCAGAGGGCCGCCTCCTCGAGGGCCCTACTGGGCCGTTTATTTACTCAGAAACCTTTCCCCGCTGGGGACTGAGAACCCAGGGTCTTGAGCATGTCACATGCACGGTCTACCGTGTAGCAAGCACCATACTGTAGCCCCGGCCTCAGTAAATACTTTTGTTTTGTGTTGTTTGTTTTGTGAGACAGGTTTTGTATGTAGTCAGATTGGCCTTGAACTCCAGGAGATCCTCCTGCCTCAGCCTACCTAGTACTGGGATAGCAGGTGTACCGCTGTGCCTGGTCCCCAATGTTTTAAAGGCCTCTTTGGAATTGGAAATCGATTGCTCTGTGGTTGTAAGGGTTTTGATCTCTGTGGTGTGTGACAGTCTTGCTGTCTTGGCCTGTGCAATGGGGCTGTTCCCTGACTGAGAAGTGGATGAGGCTGGGGTTTGATCCCCAGCCCCACAAAAAGTAGAACTCACTGGGAAGCACCCTCAGGTGTGTCGTCCCCCGTCCCCCGTGTCCCCCACCCTCCCAGAGGCTGGGGATGGGATTCTCAAGCTCTCCTGGAGAGGGCTGCCTTGGACCGCCCCCAGCCAGGCACTTCAGGTTCATAGTTCCCCGGGTGAAGTTCCTGTTGCAGTTCCTGTGTCTTCTGTCTCAGAAACCGCTGTCCCTGGGGTGCGGCTTGTATAAACCGGTCCTGAAGGACCAGCGGTCTCTACCTGCACTCCCTGCTGGCTCATCCCATAGAAGCCGGGAGAGGCCGATGATCTGGGAATGAGCCGGTCAGAGCCCGGTCAATCTGCCTCCAGATCCTGGGTGTCTGTCGGCTCCGGGTTTCTTCTGCTCACTGTGGCCTCCTTTGAGTACAGAAGAGCTCGAGAGAGGCGGGGGAGGCCAGGGAATCCTGCAGTTAATTATCAGTATATTCCTGGATTAATTCCTTCCAAGGAATCCGTGATCACGTCACCAGGCCTAGGCGCCTTGCTGACCCTCTCTGTGAACCCTACAAACACTGGTAAGGTAAGGAGAGTATTTCACAGATAAAGAAGAGGAAGGCCACAGTGAAACACTTCCCCTGATTAGTAAGGGATGGCGTGGGGATTGGAACTCAGTCCACAAACCTTCTCCCTGCATCGCTCGGCCCCTTGCTGTTCTGCCTACTGTGTACTTTTCAAAAACGGAGAAAGTACAGCCTACTATTTAACGTGGGACTTTCCCTCGGTCTCGGCAGACTTTCCCACAGCCTTGCAAGTGCTCTAAGGGTTCTGTGGGCCACTGAAGGGTTCTGTGGCGGCGTCCTACCATGGTCAGAGGACGGGCCGGAACTGTCCCAGCCACCCGGCCCTCGGGGCCTGACGGTCCCGCCTGAGGGAAGGTGTTTGCAGGAACCTCCAGGTTTGGAAGGGAAATTGTGGCAGAGGTGGTAAAAGACCTGCAAAAAAACATCTCAAGTGTGGCCTCAGAGAAGTCTGGGCTTGAGGAGCAGGAGAGGAAACAGCAGGGCTCCCGGGGGTGACGTCTGCACGTCCCTGGTCCCCGAGGTGATGACCAGAGCGGGATGGGAGAGGCGGTCACAGGGAGGTGGAGGAGGACCCCTCCCCCTGAGAGGGGCCCAGATCACCGTGCTCAGTCCGGGGTGGTCCTGCCAGGTCACCCAGCGTCTTTGTTTCCTGACTGCTGGTTTTGACTGTTCCCCTATCCATGGCAGGATGTCCCCAAAGCCTGATTTGCTTTTTGTTTGCTTGTTTTTGAGTCCTAGGCCTCTGAGCTGCATCCCCAATCCCTTAAGTACTTTTTTTTCCAGTCTCTCTGATACAGGGACTTACTATGCAGTTTGGACTGGCCTTGAATTTATTTTGTAGCCCAGGCTGGTCTCAAACTCGCAACAATCCTCCTGCCTCAGCCTCCCAAGTGCTGGGATTACAGGCATGCTCCACCATTCCCGGCTGGTTCCTTAAGTGTAAACTGTAATATTTAACTATTAATACTTCTGTAATAAGGTTAGCTTGGAGTTGCTTCACGGCTTAGTTCTTATAAGAATATAGAACCACTCTATTCACCTCCATTCCAACCTTATCCCAGTGTTATATAGTCTTATACAGTATTCCTTTTCTAAATATTTTATAAAAATACCCACTGTTCTTGGTTTCATTCATTCATTTATTTGAGACAAGGTCTCACCAAATAGCCCAGACTGGCCTGGAACTTGCAACCTCCCTGCCTCAGCCTCCGGAATAGCCAGGATCACAGGTGTGCACGCGCATGCCTGGATATTTGACATACTCTTGTTCCAGAAGGGAATATAGGGGTTGGGGCTTGGTGTGTGTTCTTAAGAAGAGGCCAGTGAACCCAAATACTCACTGGTGCTCTCCACCTGTGCCCTCAGGAGAGTAAGTTTTACCTTTTCTCTAACTAAGTTTAAGGCAGCCCCTCACCTGCTGCATGCTGTCACTTTCAATCAGAAGTCTGTTCCTGAGAAGGAAACATGCTTGACTTTATGCATCTGCTAATTTTCAGCCCCTTCTCCCCACCACCCCAGCCCAGGCCTCTTACTGAGCATGGGCCACCCCACCCGGACCCATGTTAAGCAGAGCACAGTGTCTGCACTATCCGAGACCATTACTGTGTCATGTGCTTCCCAGAGAGTCTCTTCATGAAGACATCGTGAATATGTTTGAAACATCACACGGGTATTTCATCAGAATTGAGGTGTTTTTTATATTTGTTAAGAAAACAAAAACAACCAGGCATGGTGGTGCACGCCTGTCATCCCAGCACTCAGGAAGCTGAGGCAGGAGGATCGCTGAGAGCTCGAGACCCAGCCTGGGCTCCATAGTGAGATCCTGTCTCAGAAAACAAAATAAAAAATAAAAGTCCAACCAACCAAACTAAAATCTACACGCTTAGAGACACACACACCGTCCCCCAGTTCCTTCTGCCTGTCCTCTCTCCCCACAGGGACCTAAATCGGGGGAAATCAGAGCAGGGCCCCACGGTAGGTAGGAGACAGCATCGCTGTTTCCCTGCAGTCTGACCGCGCAAGGAGGAGCCCAGGAAGAGCCCGGCCCGCAGCCTCCCACCACCGCGGGCAGGCGGGCTGTGTCCCCGAGCCTTGCGCCTTTTCAGATGTGGCCGCTTATCTCCTGGGCAGGCAGAGAGTAAACACCATCCCCCGGCGGGCCTTGAAAGCTCCTCCAGACACAGAGCGCCCCAGAGGACAGTGCACAGCAGGCACGGGTCCCACCGGACGGCACCTTCTCATTTGCCGCTTATATAAGCAGGGCACCCTCAGCACTGCCCTCGCACCCAGCCCAGCACCCACATGGAGTACGGCCAGGGACAGGGCTGAGCCGGAGCGTGTGCGATGCGGCTGAGCCCTCTGCGCTCCCAGGGCCCTCTGTGGACAGCAACCACGTGGAGGAGTCTCTGCGGTGATGAACTTAGCCATTTATTCATTCATTTCTTTCTTTCTTTAATTTATTTATCAATTGTTTCTGAGACAAGGTTTCACCTTGAACTGATTAGGTGGCCCAGACTGGCTTCAGATTCATGGCAGTCCTCCTGCCTCAGCCTCCTGCGAGCTGGAAGGACAGGTCCGTGCCACCCTGCCTGGCTGAACTGAACTGAACTTTCAGAACGAAAACTCTGTAGTGAGCTGGGGTGTAGCTCAGTTTGATCTCCAGCACTGCAAAAGCAAACAGTTATCTATAGGTGAGTTCCTCACTGAAATATGTATCTGAGTTCTACACCTGGTGACAGCTGCTGCTAACATGATTATAAATCTCTGAGGGCTTTGTCTCCTGACAATTTCAAGACCCATCTTTGCTCTCCTGTGTGTGTGTGTGTGTGTGTGTGTGTGTGTGTGTGTGTGTGTCTGTATGGGTGAATGTGGTGTCTTTTTTGAAACAGGGTCTTGCTATGTGTTTCAGGCTGGCCTTGGGCTCACTTTGCAGCCTAGGCTGGTCTCAAATTTACAAATGATTCTCCTGCCTCAGCCTCCCAAGTGCTGGGATTACAGGACTGCACCACCAAACCTGGTTTTTTGTTTTGTTTTTTGAGACAGGATCTGGACATCTATCCCAGGCTGGCCTTGAATTTGAGACGATTCTCCTGCCTCAGCCTCCAAAGTGCTGGGATGACAGGCATGCACCACTGCACTTGGTTTTGCTTTCCTAATCTTGAGGGGTATGAAGATTTCTTGGCTCTGTCCTGCCCCCATGATCTCCCCATGGAGATAGCCATTTTAGGGTCAGAAACACTAACATTTATCAAGTTTCCCTTAGGAAAAGAAGGCCTCCATTGGGCATGGTGGTGCACGCCTGTGATCCCAGCACTCTGGAGGCTGAGGCAGGAGGATCACCATGTGTTTGAGGCCAGCCTGGCCCACATAGTGAGTCCAAGGCCAGCATAGAACACACGTGTGAGACCCTGTCTCAAATAGACAAAAACAAAGAAAAAGAAAGAAAAAAGACCTCAGTGAGGTTTGGATAATCGGACCCCGCAGGCGGGGTCTCTGCTAGGGCTGTGTTTCACTTTGTTTCTTCCTTCTGGGTGGCTTTCTCTTGAGATCGGACAGTAACACATGCAACTCCAACTAGACACATAAGACCCAGAGTACAAATACTCTCTCTTAGTTCCAAGTCTGTATTACTAACCTGTGTAACTCTTAAACAAAACTTCTAGAGTTCTGTGGAAATGAAAGGAGAAGCGATTCTTTTGGATTCTTTGGAAAAAGGAAGCCACAGGGCCAGGGATATAGCTCAGCAGCACAGCGCCTGCCTGGCAAGCACAAGTTCCTGAGTTCAATTTCCAGAACCAAAACAAAAAAGCAAGCCACATGTCCAGATTTTGGGGACGACATTGGAGCTCACTCTGACACAGCACAGACCCCTGGCGTGTGTCAGCTGTAAAGTATCTGTGCCTAGTGGATAAGAAAGGACTGGGGAATCTCATCCGCGGCTCAGAACTCCCCCGAGCGAATTCTCCCCAGGGGATGTTCTCTGTAGAGTGACTTATCGGTAGCCCAGGCTCACAAGGCTTATTGGCAGGAGAACTGATAAACGGAGGGAGCCTGGAGACACAGTTTCTCTCCTCTGTTGCTGGCTCTTCTTATCTCCCAGTGTTAACCGAGTTTCCGGGGACAGTACCTTCAGTGGTGCGTCTGTCAGTGACCTTAGCCATCAAATCGTCCTTTAGGGCAGTGCTTTCCAAGAGGCAATGGTCTCTGCTATAGAAGAGATGATCTGGGGCTGCAGCTGGGCAGAGGTGTCTAAGGAGCTGCTAGTTCCGACTCACTGGGGTGTTTGGTAACCCCAGGTCCTACTGCACTCAGCATCCAAGGTGAGATCCCCAAATACACCGAGCGGTGAAGTTCCTTGCAGAAGAGGGACCACTGTCAAAACCAAACTTTGCAGGCCTCAAAATGAGACAGATGTGCACACCTGGGAGGCTGAGGCAGGAGGATTCCTCGTACGTTCAAGCCCACCCTGAACTACAGATTGAGAGCTTGTCTCACAAAACCAAACTGTAACGGCGACACAGGGCCTGGCGCCGGCTGGACGTGGGCTCCACCGCTGAGCTAGCGTGCTGGTCCGAATCCTTTGGGGAGAATTGATTGACTTCTCCAAGGAAAGGTCAGAATAACCAAGTGGCTGCCAGCTTCAACTGTGATACTTATTAATAATTGGTTAGTTGGCAGTACTGCCTCAGTGGTCACTTTACATCAACCACTGTGCACGGCCATGTCCGGTCACGTTGGTCACACCTCCGTCCTGGGCAGTGTTCGCCTAGTGTCCCCACCACCCTGCGGCCGGCGACAGGAACCGAAATGGTCTCTGTCATCACTGTGCATTGGGACAAATGGAAAAGAGTCGCAAGCCAGGTAGGAGGCTCGGGAGGAGCACTCTGAGGACAAGGGGAGGACCGTGGTCCAGCTGCTGCGGGATGTGGACAGATGAGTCCGAGAAACGCAAACAAAAATAAAAATGAAGTAGAGGAAAAAAACACAGAAATGAACCTCGGTGAAAACAGAGCAGATCTCAGCAGATACCCGCACAGAGGTTCGGGCCTCCACCTCCTCCTCCCGGGCAGCCGCCCTGAGCTGCCGATGTCCGAGTCCTGTCCTTCCGACCCCCCTTGGAGCGTCCTGCGGTTCCAGCTCCAGGGCCTCCCCGCCTTGCACTGCCGGGGGGCTGGGACCTGGGCAGGCACTGAGACCTCCCGTCCCTTTACCCAGCTTCGCCTTCCTGTCCCCGGCTCTGCCTCCGGGGAGGATCTCCTCATCCACTGTCTACACCACGCTCCGGTGCCCGGAGACACAGCCGCACTCTGGCCCACTCTCACCTCTTCTGCCCTGCACAGTGGCCGCTGACCCCAGATGCTAGACGCCTCGTCCAAGTGTGACAGCCACCAGCTCCGCAGTGAGGACGCGAGCACCCGTGTCTCCCTGTGGCTGGGTGAGAGGTCTACGCCTGCAATCTCAGCTCAGCGAGGTCCCGCGCCTGCTGGCAGGTAAAGCTCTCGGAGCGCACCATCTGCCCTGCACCTGCCTGAAAGAAGTATTTCCCCTGCTGTGGAGACGCCCTGCTGATGACTTCACTTGAGATCTACACTGAAAACGCCAAATCACACCTCCAACTTAAAAACATCTGACATAACTTAGCCCCAAGCTGCACAGCAACTTCATTTTATTGTACTTTATTTTTTCTCTGTTCTGGGGATCGATCCACAACCTCGTGCTTGCCAGGCAGGCACTGTGCTGCTACGCTATCCGGCAATTTTAAGAAATTAGTTATTTTTTTAGCCATGCATGGTGGCACACACCTGTGATCCCAGCACTTGGGAGGCAGAAGCAGAAAAATCTCCACGATTTCGAGGCCAGCCTGGGCTTTCTAGTAAGGTTCAAGTGCACACTGAACTACATAGAGAGACCCTGCCTCCAAAAAACAGACAAAAATTACTTACAGTCCTTTCAATAATACTTTACTTCAAAGCTTAAAGAACTTTTTGTTTGTTTATTTTGGGATGCTGGAGGTTAAACCAGGCACCTCCTGCTTGTCAGCAAAACCCTCTGCTGACCCCTGGGGATTCTCACTGAACTGTAGTTGAAATTGTTTGGTGACTTCTGGTCAATTTTTCTCACAGAGGTTTACTCAAAGTTGTTGATGGCCTGTTTTGTTTTCTTTTATTGCTTCCAGCTGGTTTTAAAAACATGCTATTGAATGGAAGTATGCTAATCCTTGCTGGGTCTTCGCTTTGAAGTTATTTCTGAAAAATATTCTTGAAAGCAATCTCGATTTGTGGCTAAGAATATTTATAACCTCTAGATCCCTTTGCAGAAGAGAGTGGGAAAGTGCTGGTCCACTCCCTTCTAAGCAGAAAGCCACCAGGCTTCTGTGAATTCACTGACTGCTGCTAGGAGCTCAAAGGACAAAGTGGCCGGATGTGTTCATGGCACAGGGTGGCAGACTGCGCTAGTGCAGGGTGACCACCCTCCCGGTGTGACTGCAGGCTTTGCAGCCTGCGATTACCGAAGCTGCTCCCCTGTACCCTAACTGTGACTCTCAGTTTGGTAATATAATTTTTATTACAGAGGCTCTCCATCCAAGAACTTTAGAGATCGGGATTTCTGCAGTCACTATTTTGTTTTGATATTAGAGAACAGGAATTTCATTTTGCGTTGATTAGAGATAAACTACCTTAGGGAGCGCCTTGGTTTTACTGGGTTGATTGATTGAATGAGACAGGGTCTCGCTCTGTAGTTCTGTCTGGCCCTGAACTTACTACATAGCACAAGCTGGCATCAAACTCATAGCAATCCTCCTGCCTCAGCCTCCTGTGTGCCTGCAACTTAGTTGTTCTTATCAAACCTTTTCCCATGAATTTGCTTTTGAGTGGTTAATGTTTCATTAGAAAGTGTGCTCCCAAGATCTCTCTTTCATTTTTATTTCCATCTTGTGTGGCTCCCCTGGCATGAGGGCAAGTGCACAGGCTGTGAGCCGCGTCTGCATTTGCACTGACACAAAGGCGAGGGGCATAGGAGACCCCCCAAAATATTTCTCTAGGAGGCCAGTTTCTTTCTCTTGCATTTCTTGGATTTAAGCACTGGGTTTTTGGGATCTCACGAGTGATAAAGGTTAAAAGGTAAAAAGGGTTAGAAGGCGCCATATCTGCATTCAGGCGTCCACAGACGGGCAGGTTGTGTTGGGGAAGAGCTTGGTCCTGTGACAGAGGGTCCCCAGCCGACCTCTGTCTCTCCTGCAGCGTCCGACCCCGTCTTCTCTGTGCTTGGTGGGCGAAGGCCAGCCGCCTTAATGGGGGTGATGAATACTTTTCTGTTGATCTGCTCTGCAGTCTGTGATTTGATTTCTTGATACATGGATAAATATTTTGAAGCTTTTGCCTCCGAACACCTGGCTACCTTGTGATTCTGATGATAGTAAAAAGACAAATGCTCTTCAGTCCTTGAGTTCTTGGTGCTGGAGTCTCGTCCTGTGAGAGTTCTAATTCTGTCTTTCATCAGACCTGCCTCCATCTACACCGCCCATGCTGGTCCTTCAGCGGGGCGAGCCTCTCCCAGCCCCAGCCCTGGTGAGTGCCTGGCCAGTGCATTCTAGTGCACTGGCTCGTTTTGAGGTGTTCTGGCTCGTTTCGGGGCGTTCGGAACGTAGCAAACATGAGTGATTGGTCCCTTGGCACTTTCTGAATAGTGACAGATTGACAGGAAGTCTAAGATTACTTCTAGATAACATTGCTTTCAACTATGAGAAACAGAAATTCATCCAAAAGTTACTCATGCAGTTAAAAATAAAGAAGAATTAGCTCGTGTGACAAGCACTCAGGAGGTGAGTCTGCACCAGGGTTAGGCGGCCCGAGGTTCTGTGCTCGCTTCGGGCTGCCCTGCTCTTCCCTCTCTCTTCTCTTCTCAGATTCCCGTGTGCTTTGTTCTCTGGGAAGGTTATTTCCATGTAGCAGACACACACATGCACACACAGACCCCATAAGGAGAAAAGGAAATTTCTGTTTCCACATCTCTTGTTCAGAGGAGGAACTCTCCTCCGAGGTGGCTTCGGCCCGCTAGCCAGACTCCTGTCATCTGTAAACAAGACGGGGTGTCACACAGCTTCACACAGGTCAGGCTCCAACCACGAGACCCCTGGCTCCTCTGTGGGCTTTTCACAAAGTTCAGTTTGCTTTTCCTAACTGTGTTAAAATACTGCTTGTCTTTCCCAAATGCAGAAAGTAGCTACGACGATAGTTTAATGCCTAGGAGATCCGAAATTTATAGAAGATTTCAGTTTAAAAAAAAAAATTTTTTTTGAGACATAGTCTCACTATGAAGTTCACTCTGGCCTTGAGCTCACTTTGCAGCTCAAACTCGCAACAATTCTCCTGCCTCAGCCTCCCTAGTGCTGGGATTACAGAGGTGCACCACCATGCCCAGCTCTGAGTTTTAAAAATTTTATTTATCATTTTGAGTGAGGCTCTCACTATTTAGGCCAAGTCTCATCCTGCCAGCCGGTAGGTGCATGGGAAGGGTATCTGGCTTCTGTCTTGCTGGGCCCCACGTGGTTTGCAAGATTACAGGAAGAGCAAATGGGCTTGTTGTGGGCCTCCCGGACCCAGCATGGCTTCTCCCGACTCACAAGCAGGGCAGACTGGCTTCTCCCTAGCTTTTCTTCCGACCGAGTGTTGACACAAAGTGGTCTCAGCCTCTGTCTGCCTCCTGCAGCTGGTTGGACTGTGACGGAAGCGCCCACTGTTTTCAGGGAACTTCTCTTTCCAGCTGCAGGACTGCCAAGGTGGGCATTCAGACCTGGGCGTTTTGCAGACGTCTTCCTGATGCCTTCACTGCACGGAACTTGTTGGAAATGGTAGAGTGTGAGCTCTGGGTGAAAACGAGGCGTGAAGAGGTGGTGGCCACACTGCGAGCCTGACCTTCTTACCGCCCTCATTCACTGTGCAGAGGAGCAGGTGCGGTGCTGATGGCAGGGACAGTGCTATTGTCCGGGACGAGGAAGGAACATGTCAGCCCTACACCCCCACCACCCTGAACCCACCTTTCCCCAGCCGAGAGGTGTGTGCTACACCCTGCCGGTGCCAGAGTAAAGCGCAGATTAGCGCAGAAGATTTAGAGCAACGCAGGCAGCATTGCTCTGGTCTGTGTGCAGATTCCTAATCGCACTAACAGTCTGGGAACTCCTGGTTCTGGGTTTTAGCACAGTATCAAAGAAGGGCACCAAAATTATTTGAAAAGGCTATTTAAAGGCTATTAAATTGCTTTCTCTTTCAACTACATTTTAAGAGACTAGATTTTTGTCAGAGACAGAGTTAGAGACAGAGAGAAAGAAAGCAATCAGTAGGTTGAGAACAAAGTAACACACAGAATACAGAGTCGCCCATAAGTGTTACTGTCTTGTCCTCCTCCTCCTCCTTATTCTTCATCTGTGTCTTCTTCTCTCTGAGGCAGGGTCTCCCTATGCAATTCAGGCAGGCCTTGAGCTCACTTTGCCACCCAGGCTGCTTTTGAATTCTCAGGGATCCTCCTGCCTCAGCCTCCCAAGTGCTGGGATTACAGGCATGCACCACTATACCTGGCTTCACTGTCTTCTATTAAGAAGAGAATTCTTGCTTCGAAAGCTGTAATTAGTTTTCTGTATAATATTGTTCATAGGAATACATGGCGGGTTATTATTTTTTACTTTTAAATGATATTTGTACATTCTTCTATGTGGGGCTCCTAAACTGGAACACATCGGTCAGTCGCTGTGAGCTCTTTCCAGTTAACCTCGAGGGTCTCAGAGCCAGGGGCCTCTGGCTCCCTGGTTTCACTCCCTGCAGCTTGGTCGTGAGGCAGCTTGGCCCCGGCCTCTCCTGCACGCGTCACTTTCTGTGGTCACAATGCAGCCTCCAGTTTTGTCGCAGGGAAGAGGCAGGGATGAGTGGCATATGCCACAGTCAAGGCAACAGGATTTTCCCTGCACCAAGCGCCAATCCACAGCTGGGATCTCCCTTGGGAACGGCCAGCAAAGGACTCCCGGGGCTCAGGCACAGCAGCCTCACCTGCAGCGCTGCCGGGCTCCCCATCCCAAGCCAAGGCTTCTTTCCCGCTGCACTCAGCATGGGCCTGGGCAGCTCACTGCTTCCGCCAGAGCCGGGACATAGCCTGCTTCTGCCTGCCCTGTGTGTACGGGGTGCCCCGCCTTCCCTGGTCTCCTTCCAGGGTGCATAAGTCTTGGTTCTTCCTCAACAAAACGGTGACTATCGGGCAGCAGATTCAGATGTTTGTACAGGATCAGAAAGAACAAAGTGGTCATGGGGCTGGTCCTGCTCAGCCATAGGGTAGGGCACTTACCCAACATGCACAGGGCCCCATCTCCAGCAGTGGGGAGGGGGGAATCACCAGTAAGTCAAGGGTCCCGTCAGATGACCTGGTTAACAGTGATCGCCTTTATTAGCCATGACCAGAGACACAGGAGCTATGGGAAGGATTTAAAATAGGAATTTTCAGCCAGGCATGGTGGCACATGACAGTAATCCCAAAGCTCGGGAGGCTGAGGCAAGAGGATTGCCATGAGTTCAAGACCAGCCTGGGCTACAAAGTGAGTTCACGGTCAGCCTGAAACGTGCAGAAAGCATTTCAAAAAACAAAACAAGGTAGGGACTTTCATCTCATTTGCACGAAAATGGACGGAATCAGAGCCCGTGAGTTAAGTGAAATACGTCAGGCAGAGAAGTCCAGGCAGCACAGGGTTTCTGTTACATGAGAAGCAGCTACGCGCCACCACCCATCTACCGCGTTGCCTTCCTGACATGCACTAAAAACAAGAAAAGAAACAGGATGGGCCTTTCTCCTTTGGATGGGACACTTAATACCCATAAAGAGCTGTGGGTAGAGCTGCCCCGGGGCAGCTGGAAATACGGCCTGGCCTGCATGGGAGAGATGCTGCTGGGATTATGGCCGTGGAAGTCTCAGTGTGTAGGACAACATTGGGAGACACTACATCCTCCCCTCAAAGGTCCGTGAGTTGCAGCTTGCACCACACACACCCTGCTGAGGGATGCTGCTCTCTGAACTGCCCTCAGAGCTGTTCTGTAAGCCTGAAACTATTCCACGAAGCTCGTCTACTTTCCGAGCCACAGTCTCCTCCTCCTTGCTGACTTTCCAGTCTTTGTCCTGCGTCCTAGGATGACATCTAACTTGCAGAAACTCCTCCCTTAGCATCCCTAGGGCCTTCTGTCGCCTCCCCAGACAGCGGCTCCCTGCCTCGCTGCCCTCTCCGACAGGGGGAGGAGTTTCTGGGACTCCTGAGCCATTTCACCAGGGCCCTGAGCACTGGTGTGACCGGAGATCGAGGACTAAGCTGTGAATCAGAGCAGAGAGGCATGTAAGAAAGCTTCCAGAGCAAAGGGCAGCTTGTTCTTCCTCAGTGCACTGAATCTCATAACACACACTTGGATGAGCGCCCAGCTGGCTTTGCAAAGCCCTAAAGCATTCAAAGAAAAAAAAAAAACAAAAGAAAAAGAACCTAAAATCCTAGTGCAGTCCGAATGAGCAGGAAGGATGCCGCTTAAACTTTCCAGCTCGGCACCGAGGAACGGAAACGGTTTCTGTCTGTTCCTGCTGCTCCTCCACACACGGACGCTGGTTGTCCTAACCAGGGAGCCACGCGGTGAACGGTAATTATAGGCACATCTGCCAGCATCCTTGGCATGCCCCGGCTTCGCCCGGACGCTGAGCACGCAGGATTAGAGGGAGGATGGTTTGAGGTTAGGCCTCATTTAAATGCCTGCAAGGACTTGATCTCCAGAAATGCTATCAAAATGTGTTCCAACAAATAGGTAGTTTTTTTTCCACCACGGATACCTTCTAGTGGTGAAGCAACAAAAAATGTTTAGAAGATGAAAGTTGTGCTCATTTTTGTTCTCTGATTGGTCCCTTTGTCCTGTTAACTGATGAAGTTTTAAAATTTTAAAGGAGGCAAAAGAGAGTGAGTTGGCCCTGTGGTTGGAGTAGGATGAGACAGACCGAGGCCCTCCGGGCTGATGACGGAGTCCCTGTGACATGCAGTCTTCTCGTCTTCAGCCGCCAGCACCCTGGCTCCGCGTGTCCGGGAGGAAGCCTGGACACTGCATGATCGGCTGCCATGAGCCCTGGGGACTGCTGTGCTGGTTCCGTCCACACTCCCTTACAAACACTGGCATCACACGGTAAATAAGGGGCTCGGCAGAGACTGCCTGGGCCAAGGCCAGAGACAGAGCTCCTGCTGGAGAGGAGGCTCTGCAGAGGTTCCTGAAGCCAGATGAAGCTGCCCACCGGGCAGGCTGCATCAGACTCCCACCTGCAGGGGAGCAGAAAGAGCTGGACGCTGCCCGCCTGGGGCTTAGGTGTTTGGCACTGCTTGGTCCTCTCGCCTTTCCCCCACTCTTTCACCCTCTCCCGGGACCTGT